AATGTAATTCAATAAAGTGTCAAAAGTTTTATGAATCTGTTTGAAATGAATGCTTAGCATTCTGAGAGCCAAAGAAATGAAACAATGGGATTAAATTGCTGATGAATATACTTGGCAAAACCTCTGAAATAATGACATTTTAAAATCAGTAACATTCAGAAAATTCTCACAGAAATGTCATGACTGATCTGAAATTTATCTGTGACATTGTAAACTCCAGTTTATGCAGGAATAGGTCAAAAGTCGGAAATTATTTAGAAAAATTTAAATACTGATAATATAAAATATTACATAATTGTCTGTTGTGACTTCCTTATGTGATTTCCTGTATTTTTAAGGATAAATATATTTAGTCTGATCTGTTGCCATCATATCCAAAGTCTTCTTAGCTTAGTTCTGTTCTATACTGAATCAATTATAAATATTTTGTGGGCTTAAAATTATTTATACCTATTCAAAGAAGACATTTTCGAGTAGTATTGAATATATTGCCTCTGCATAGACTATGAGAAAAGACTGAATTCTCTGTAGCCTGCTTGAGCTACATTTCTCTGTTTACTGGGTATCATGACCCGCTATTAATACAGAGTGGGGGTTGTGATGGTTCATTTAATCTCAGAGGTGCAAACAAGCAAAATGCAGGGGACAAAATCAGTTTATTCAACAACAGCAATGTATTTTCATTAAATGCCAACAACTCAGTTGCAATAGAGGGGAGAGATATAGGAAACAAAATATAGAGAGAGAAAGAAGGAGATGGGAAAATAGCTACCAACAGACGAGATGGACGTCCTCACAGGCCAGCCGACAGAAGAGTCTTCATCCGTGGGGAGTACTCGAGGATCTTCTCCAGAGGGTCGCTCTTTTATAGTCCTTCTCCAAAGCGAGTGGCTTCTGGCCAAAAAGTGGGAAGATTTATGGACCATTGTGTGTTGCTGCGGGAGACAGGTGTGGTTGTACAGTACATGCAGTCTCCAGTTGGTACAACATAATTTCTGGTTGGTGCAGCACAATCTCTGGTTGGTGCCACAGCAGCACAGTCCAGTGAACACAACACACCTGCACACAGTCACTTGACAAGCATCCATCTTGGCCAGGCCAGGAAACCATTGTCCGGAGTCAGCCTGGGTGGGGGTCCTCGAGGTCTTCTTGCGACGGTCGGGAGACAAAAAAACGAGAAAAACTTCGGACCGACCCTTACACTTGGCTAGGAGATTAAGTTTTGAACTCAGAAATTATTAGTTAGGCACACAGTGAGGGACTGATCTGGTTTAACTCAGACATCTAAATGTCAGATTAATAAATCTGAACCAGTCACAACCAATCCCTTCCCTAAGTGACGAATAGGCATCTTTAAATGTTTGTCATTTGATCAGAGAAATTGCATATCTATCTTTCTCTCTCCCCCAGACCAACAGTGTTCAAATAAAGGAATTATTCTTGAAAAGGAGACATGTGATTGCCTTAAAATTACTAACATTTTCTGCGTCATCATTATGCAGTGTTTTGCTCACAGCTGAGAGTGCAATGACAGCAAGTTTCTCAAATGATAGTGCAATATCTCTGTATCTTTTCTACACTCTTCAATGTTAAAATCTCAAACTTACTAGGTTGTAATGGAACTTCAGTTATCATTCTCTGCTTCTTCATAGCCTTTCTGTCCTTAAGTGTTCTTGAGAGATTAGGACAACCTTGAGAACAAAAGAAAAACGAGAAGTAATTTACTGCAAGCAGTACAACTGCAAAGGGTTTATGTTGATAAGGGACTAGCCCTGGAACATGATAAATACAAATAAGGCAGGCAGTAATGTACTGCATGTTTAAGAACTACTTATATAATAGGTAAATACTGAGGAAATTATTTCATATTGAGCATGGCAGCTTTTGATATATTTTGAGAAAACCAAAATACCATTCTTAGAGATGAATCAGTGCTTATCAATCCTCTGTCTCTCAATGCATAAATACATTCATACATGTGTGTTTGGTAAACTTATTAATTCGAACAAGCAGAATCAATTGAAATAACCTATATACTTTAAAGAGTGTGTGCTTATAGGATGAGTTTTAAGTCAGGCAGCCAGCTCAAATATGTAATCAGATATATAATCACAAAAGGTAATTAGAACAGTATAAGCAGAGGTAAATAACTTCAAAAAAATTCTGAAAAAAAATCTCCCATAAATTTTATTAAGTTATAAAATGAAAAGGGAAAAACATGAATGTTTAGTAGCTTAGGATTTTTCTTAGGGAATATGACTTTTGCTCATGCTCCACTGTTAACATTTCAGAACTTTCAAGAGTATAGCAAGGCATTTCATGTAGCTAATGGACAACGGGAGTTCTAGTCCATCCAAAGTGGTGTTAAGCAATCAGGAATTACAGAATAATGAATTCAACCTTAATTTTTCATCTTTTTACCCAAAGATCAGTTCTCCTTTTTGTTGTGGTGTATTATTTTATTGCTGTTTTCCCCTGTATAATGGTTTGTTCCAATGTTGTTCCCCCCTGTTTCTTGTAATATTAGCTGTCCAAGTTCCTGCCTTCCCCCTGTCAATCTACCCTTGTCCCATGCCATTTTTCCAGATTGTTCCCCATCAGTCTCCCCAAAATCCTCCCATGTCATTGTCAATCTGTGGACACACACATTTAGAGAGCTAGGGAATTAAAGCTTGGAAATTCTTTTCCAGGCCTGGATTTCTCCTGACTCTCAGCTCCATTCCCAGGCTGACAAGCTGACTACAGCTTCAGTTAGGGAGGAAATCTCCCAGGGTGATAATATGGTGAAAAACAGAGTGGAATTCATAATAAAGATTAACACCTGGTGTCTTTCCCGTGGGATACATCCTGAGGTGCTGTCCCAAGGATGTTATTCCCAATTGTCCAATAAGCTACTGTCCTGTCCTAGCAGCATGTAACATACTTTAAATACAGCCTGTCCGTACAATAAAGTTGGCCTTTTATCCCTAAAGGCGTCCGTGTGTGTTGTTGTCCTTTCTCTCTCTTTTTAGCACAGTAACCACATCAATCCTCCTTATCTCCTCCCAACCTTTCAGAGACTTCTATGTCAGTTACCCCTTTGTCGGAACCTAATTTGTTGATACAAGTTGTTCCCCGCCCAGGTTTTCCCTTATTGGTTAATTAAGTATTCTTCCTTGCCTTATGCACCTCCCCCAAAATACCCTCATTGGTCCATGCATTGTAACCTCCCTTGGGACCTCCCCCATACTTAAGTTGCTGCACAGCAGTGATTTTCGCCTTTTGTTGGATCCTCCCCTGTGGTTGCATCCTCCTCTTGGACCCTGCAATAAACCTTTTCCTTGGACCAATATAAGGACTCCCTCTCGTCCTTTGCCTCTCCCAGATGTGGACATTACCAGAAGGGCCTCACAGCCCTAGCTGCATTCCTGGGTGTCCTGGTTTAGGGCAAATTTGAGGGAAAACCTCCGGAAGGAGGTTCCGGAAGAATTTCCTCAGAGAAGAGTGGGGAAAAAAAAGTGTTTATTTAACAAGCAAAACACTCACCAGCACAGGAAAAAAAACAACACCAGCTGACAAAAAAACTCTTTCACCGTTCTGAAGGGATGACAAACTCAGAGAGTCTCTCTGGCGAGTGGTCGCCGAGTTATCTGTCTCCGGTGCTGGGAATGACTGTGTGGGTGACAGAATGTAGACTCCCGGTGTTTCTTGGTGTTTCCCAGGTCCCCATCCAGAACAAGTTCGGATGGTATCCAGGAGAGGGAGGGGAGGGGGTGGAAAAAAATACAGTCCAGGGAAAAAGCTGGACTGCCTAGCTGAACTAACTAATAAGCAAAAGCAAGGGCAAAGCAAAGGAAAGAAAAAGAGGCAGAAGCAAGCAAGCAGGCAAGCAAGCAAGCGAGCAAGCAGGCAAGCAAGCAAGCAAGCAAGCAGAGCTAAAACCTCTCCTAAACACAGACCGTGGGGGAGGTGAGCCCGCTGATAACAAGACAAAACAAAGCTTCACTTTCAGAGTCAGTCCTGAAAGCACAGGACATAATACCAAACATAATCAGAACACACGATTGGAGATGCAAACACCATAACATCACCCTAGGACACTGGGACATTTGTATCCGGGAAGCAGCCCACTCTTGGCCACGGTTCCCACCTGCATGAGCTAGCTGGGTGGGCCGGAGGGCCAGGTTGTGGAGCAGGTGGCCGCATCACCTTGTGCCTCCAGCTGATTGTTTCATTGTATTATGCTGGTCTCTGTCATATTCAATATTTTGATATGCAAGGAAACAATATTCTCTAAAAGAACTTGACGTTTCCTTTGGTTTGCCTGTTACTAAAATCTGCAGGCTGGAAAATAACTCCCACGGGACATTTTCTTCTTTAAAACTTTTAAATCTAAAATGTTATACTTTTCACCTTGTTCATCTGGAGAGCAAAACTGCAGAACATGTTAGGGTACACATTAGTCACTTCTTTAAGTGAGCTAGCTAAGAGAATAGGAGACATTTAAAATGTGTAAGATGCACAAAAATGCCTTTCAGATATGCTGTTTGATTAGATAGTCCTTAAAGCCAAGCATTCAAAAAAATTCTATCAGAAGTTAAATGTTTTCCTCAATAAAACTGCCACAGAAGAAACATACATTTGAATTTCTACGTCTATCAGTGATAAGTTTGTGGGAATCCTTAAAATCAGAGGGTTTTGGGAAAGCTGCAAAAAAGCAGGCCTCAGAGACAGCAAACTGCAATTAGAGCTAAGCAGAAAGCACAAGGCATGTCAGCAAAAAAGTTATATGAAATGTAGAAAGGAAAGACATAGAACAATGGTGTGTGTATTAACGCTTGACTAGAATAACTCTCTAAGCTGCAGAAAAGTATATCTAGCAAGATATTAGGAAGGTCTAAGCTTAATAATGGAGCTCTGTGCATTGTATTTTAAGGCTTACAAGTAGGTATTGTATTCGAAATAAGCAAGCATTGCTTTAACCAAAGGTACGTGTACTTAGAGTGGTTGGATGGAACTACTGTCAATATGCTTTTGCTTTTGTGATTGGTCAAAAAACTTTCAAAATGCATTGTAGCATCACGTTCTCTGGCTGGTGCTGAGGATGTGAGCTGCTGGCATCTTCCCGCCGTGCCAACCTTGCAATGAGACTGATACTTTGGAGGAAAAAATAATAATAAAGCAGCTCGAGGCGTGTTCCACAGCAGTCCTGTCCCATTTGTGCTTCTGTGTGCAAAACCCCTGGCCAGCATTATAATTTCACAGTGACACTGAACATCTCATCCACATCATTTTGCTGAAACTCATGACACTTTCCCTCCAAAATCAGGAAGGAATTAAATGTGAACATTTAATGTCTTTGGAAATAAAGAAATTTTGTATCTGGACTTCCAACTAAAGATAAATTGCTCCAGATATTTGCTTGAACCAATGACAGAAGTATTTGTCACAACAAGAAACAGTTTTCCACCATCTTGTACATAAAATATTTGGAAGTCAGCCTGGTATGCTCAAATCCATGCTTAAGTTGTTATTGACATTCGTCATAAAGAATGAAATCTTTGATCTTTAGAATAGAAATTAATTGTTTTACTGGCCAAAGATTAAATTTCTACTTTTTTACAAATAAAAATTTAAAATATTTTCATATTCCTGTCTCTATTATTAAACAATATCAGATTTTCTGAATATTTTTCATATCAGTTGCTTTTTGAAACTGAGTTCAGCTTTTTAATCAATGAAATTGCATATTCTTTAGCTTTACACTTTGTATTTAACAAAGACTTTCCTTACTTTAGATATTCTAATTATTTTTGCCTAGTGAATCTAATGCAGATTTGTACAGTATATGAAGATATTGCTCTCCACTCTACAGACTCGTACCTCAACAACGAGGATGTTTTCTAGCAATACATCCATCAGAAGTTTAGAGACTTCTTTGCCCAAGAGTTGCTACAAGGTGCTAATACACAAAGAATTCCAATGCATCAGCTATTAAATGGGGAAGAATTTATTGTTTTTCTCTCCTATGCCCTGGTATAATTAATCATGTAAATCTCTACCGTAGTTATTTCCATATACTAGAATACATAATCTTTTTCCTTGGAAAAATAGGAATATTTTTGACGACTTTCTGACAACTTTTGGCTACAATCCACTCAGTAACTTGGAAGTAATGAGACCCTGGAAACATTTTATGTTACTCCTTTTGATATTTCCCTGTTTCGATATTTTCTGGATTTTAGTTATGCCTCTGCTTGTTTTCCTACCTTTTGTACAGTGAAGTTGAATGTGTGTGTACTGGTTTTGAGGTTTGAGGTATTGGGAGAGATGAAGCCCTGGAAATGACTGCTGAAATTGCAGAAAACTAGTGGGTATTTAATCCAACATATTTCCATACTCTAATGTCTGTGTAAGAAAGGTTATGTTGAACAAGTTGTGGCTATTGATATTTGTATTCCCAACACAGTCAGAGCACCCACACTATCTAGCTCATTACAGAAATTGCTTTAGAATGCCTTCAGTATGAAAGGTGTTATTATAGTATCAAATTCTACCCTAGTCTGAATTTCAAATTCTTGATTAAAACAGCATTTTGGGCTAACTGGTTCTCTATTAATATCTCACCTATATACTTCACAGTGAATAATTCGAAATGATTTGTTACAGCTAAGGAAGATTAGGGCTGCTTAAAATAAATCTACTATTACTGCTTCAAATGAGATACTTATTGCAACAGTGAATTCAATATTATAAAATATTACATTCTATCAGGTACTGCCAGTGAAAGAAGTTCCTAAACATCTGTAGGGAGTGAGAGCTATAAGACTAAGGTTAGCATCATACACTGATATCATTAGTTCTTTGAATATATAAGTGAACAGTAGAACAAGAATTAATTTTGTCATTCATAGCAGAAAGAAATAAAACTTTGGTTATAAGAAACCAAACATGCACAGACTGTCTTAGAAGTAGATATCATGTATAGTTACAAATTCAAGAGATCCTGGTCCTATCCATACTTTTACTTGTGGGAGTCTAATCAGATGCACAGCCTTAACATAGTAAGGCAACCACAGAGACGGGTTTAAAATAATTTAAAATAAATTCTGGACATAGAAAGGCATGGCCTTTTCGTGCACTTTTTTCCATGATTTAGCATCTCTTGCTGTGGATAGAAACAGTTCAGTACTGTTCAGTACTGGAGGGAAGACTCCAGGGCTACATGGGACAGTGCCAGGGCTGGGTGGAACAGCCTCAGGGCTGGCTTGTGGCCATATCCTGCCACAGGTTGCACCCCACTTGTAAAGTGTGGCCCCAATAGACAGTCATGGAATCATAGAAGAGTATGGGTTGAAGAGACCTTCAAGATCATCTAATTCCAAGTCCCCTACCACAGTCTTTAGAAGTTCTCCCCTATTGACAACACAAAGTCTTTTATTTCCAAGTAAAGCCAGATTTGCAGTATTACATAGGCAGGGTGATGCATCTCACAGAATCACTTTGTGTAGGTGTAGCTGTCAGAAAATGTCTTGGTTACATTTTGGGATCTTCTCCATAAACAGGAAGGCCCACATCCTGGAACACAGAAGTAGGAAGTCACTGAAGCTGGTTCAGAAAGGTTTGCTGCGCAAACCAGTGAGTAGGCTGAGACAAAGCTTCAGAAAGGATTTCAGAAATTAGGTCATACCTAGTTACCACCGGGGTTTGGCAATCCCTCAAGTGATTCAACCACGCCTGTAAACTACTTTATCAAAATACACTTTTTGACATTCTTGCACACAGGAAAAATTCTTTCTACTATTCATACATTTGGAAATCAAATGATTTCCAAATCAAATCAAATCAAATCAAATCAAATCAAATCAAATCAAATGTTAATATTTTAAAACAAATACATGAGTTTTAAAGAAGATTCTTTTGCTTCTTAATCAACAGGTCACAGGATCCCAAAGAAAAGAATTACAAAAGCTGCAGGCACGTGTGTGGGTGGCTGGCAGCCAGGAAACGACAGCCCTGGGGAGGGCCCATTGTGGAAAGGCTGGGAAATTGCATCTACCCAGGTAAGTGCCAGATACCTTAGGAGCAGATCTAGAGAAAGAAAAATCATACATACATTTAGCCTTGTAACACAACCTAGTTCCGTAATCTTAGAAAATACTACGGTTAGCAGGAATATATCAGAGAGGTTTTCCACTGCATCTGAAAGAAAAAATGGCACTGACACTTGAAAATCAATATATAATAACAATTTATGGCAGTTCATAATATTCCAGAATCAATTCTAACATATCTTGAATTGTATTTATACTTTCTGAGGACTTTTAAAATTAATTAACCCTTTTGAACATTTTTCAGTCTCTGGAGAACTGGGAAGATAGTTTTTTACTGTACATCTATGGCAATAAGACCAATTTACTTCAGGGTTAACTGAGTAGTGGGAGAAAGAAACTGAGGACAGATTTTTAATATAATAATAATAACCAATGAAAGCAATAGCCTTCAGTCAAGTAATAATAAAATAATAAAATCAATTAAGATTCAGCCAGAAATAGGATTCTGATTTTAGAAAGGCACAAACTAACTATTCTGTCACTTACATTGCCTCCATGATAAATTTAAAGTTATAAATCATGGCTTCCCCCCAGTGATACCCAAGTAATTGTAGAGTATAATGTTTCTTTAAGAAAAGTAGGGAGCAAAATATTTTCAACATTAAAGAAAGTTTAAAAAAAAGGAATAACATTTTTTTACAATCTCAGCCTCAGGTCTGATGACCTTGCTCTAAGTACATCACAGACTTTCAGAGAACACAGCTTAACAGGAATGACAAATGAGTCCTGTTGAGATTCAAAGTTTTAAAATTAATATCTTTCAATACAAGATGAAACTTTGAAATGTATTTGGGTTTGCCACTCATTCACTGTAATTCTCTCTGTAATATATTCAGTTGGTATTTTCTATCAGTGATCTTCAATGTGATGAATTTATCTATGAATTTGAATCAGGAGCAAGGAAACTACGTTCAAACAATAATTCAACCCAATCAGATCTATTTCATCTCTCATTTTTAAGTCGTAAGGAATTTTTCTCCTCTCCCTAACTCCCTAAATGCTGCATAGCAGTTAAATTGTCTATGATTCATGCTCCCCAGGCAGGTGCCATCTTCCCAAGTGCCAAGTGCTGACTGACACCTGTGCCATGTCTTGTTCTGAATTTGCACCGAGTCTTGCTTTTACTTTGGTCTGAAATTCCAGTGCAGTCATGTACTGAAGGAAACAAAGCCAGATGCTCATTGTGCAGCCCATGCACAAAATACAGTCCATGACAAACCCAAAGGAATCAAAGTTGCTGCTCTGAGAAAACAGGGGAGGAACCAGCAGTGAAATATGGCGATGGAGAGGGAAGTGCTGTGATATGGAAAGGAGGGAAGACACATAATGCATAAGCCACCAAAAAGAATATAATGAAATACTATGAAGAAAGAAAAACTGGTGGGCTCAGCACACCGTGACCTGAACAGTGATTGCTAAGGAGTCAATAAGCCTTAGAAACAGAACCCGTAAGTAAATAGGTGAAGAAAATGAAGCTGAGGTCGAGAAGATATTCCAGAACCAGAATAAGTTGGACAAAACTTATGCAAGAGAAAGCAAGAAAGCCTTTGGCTATGAGAGGAAATTCTTTGCAGTCCACACGGAAGCCAAGATTCCTGACACTTACGGTTCTGAACACTAACATAGCCATTAGCTGTTCTGCTCCTTCAACACATTTAATGCTAATGAACACCTATCAGAATCATTACTGCTGTCAGTAATTTCAGTTCACAGGACAAAAATCTGTTGGGTAAATACAATGGGTTCCCTACATGCTAATCTTGTAAGATAAAATCGGTATGTTTTTATAGTTTTAGTGCAGGTTCTGTGTGTACAAATTTTTATGTTATTTTAGTAAATGTTTTGCTTATGTCCTCAGCAATATAAATGGCTAGAAATAAGTGGAAGGCAGAATGCTTGAATTCATGCTTTTGAATTGTTGCATACGATTGACCAAACCCCTGTTGTTTCATGATGAAACTTGTTGGAAGGTCTGCATAAAACTGCAGAAATGGAAGCACTGTATTTAATTCCTTAATAAAACATCAATTTAAAACCACTAATGAAAAAGACACCTTCCCAGCGGGTAATAGAACTCAATAATCTTTCAGAAAAGCATGTGAATGAGCTACAACAAATTACCTACATGTCCTGTGAACCCTCAAAGCTAAACCTAGAGCTAACGAAATTACTTTGCTGTGGAACTTAGCTCTTACACTGCATTCAGTAGCACACGTGGGTAACCTGGGAGAGATCCTACATTTTAGAATGCAATCAAGAGTCAAGGTTCCTATGTCTGGACTTGCAGTCTTTGCCATTCTTCTTTGCTTTTGTGATACCATTTTACATTTCATATCAGAAAGACAAAACTGAAATCCCCCAATACTGACAGGCAGCCCAGTCTCACATATCCCAAGAGTAAATGAAATGGGTAAGTGCTTGCACTGAAACTAAACTTAGAGACTGATGGTGAAACAATATGAATGCAAGCAATTGTATATGATATATTTCAGGTAATCCGTCCTTCAAATCCAGATCATGTCCTGCTAATTTTCATCACTTATTGAGTAATTTCTAATGTCTTAAAACTTCTAAACCATCCTAGTCTGTGTTTCTTCCTAATCGTTTTAGTCTTGTGGTCCACATATATGATGAGGGCCTTGGTTGTATTTTCCCCTTCCTGTCCAGCTGTGGAGGACAGTGACAGAGAGGCTTTGGTGAATTTCTGACATCCAGTCAGGGTCAACCCTCTACAGGAACAAAACTATTACCAATTATTGATATTGATCTGGTTGGAGTGAATGTTTTGGTTTGAAAGACAGGTATTTCCTAAGGAAAGGCAAGAACCCTTTCCCTGAGATGGAGAGTGCAACCTCTTCCCTTCCAACTATTATAGTTTGAAATTAGGGGCTTTTAGGCAGAAGATATGCGAGGCAGGAATAACAATTCTTTACTAATATATTTAACAAGGCAAACAAAAGAAACAACAACAGTTATAAAAATTGACAACAAAACAGAACAGTATGACTCAGTTTTAGTTGTTTATGGCCACAGACTCCTGCTCCCTGTGCTTAGTTACTGGTGGTGGGGGCAGGGCAGGTCCTGTGCAGCTGAAGGGGGCTGGAGTGATAACGGCAGCAGTCCAGGTGTGAGAAGGATGGAAGAGGGACTCCCCTCTCACAGTGTTGGTCGTGGTGCTTGGCAGAGTGCCCGGAGGTAGTAGGATGAAGTGGGAAGGAAGCAGTGCAATGTCTGACAGCAGGGAACGTGGCTCCTGTCATTGGGATGGCGGGAAGGATGCTAGGTAGGAGCCCCAGCTGTCTTCTTCTGACTCTACGAGTGAGCAAGAGAGCAAGAGAGCAGCTCCTCATCCCACCTTTCCTTTTCTGGTGTTCCCCCTGTCTCCATCTCCCTGTGAGAGAAACTGTTACTACTAAGGTGTAGCCACAAATACTTACCATAATAATAGGAGAAATTCCACAGAAAGAAAAGGGAACAATTCAACCCCCAACAGTGAACTGTGGAAAGCAGAGTTGAAGATTACACTGTGCAGGAGGAAGTAGGGCAGGAATTGTATTGCTACAGACATTTGAAATTTCAGAATATTCCCACTGTATATTACAGCAAATAAAGCACTCTCAAAGCTTTTCCTGACAAAGGAAAGAGTGCAGAAGAGGAAGAAAAGACCAAAACTACATTTGTAGTTACTATTTGGATATTCACATAGGCTGTAGGGAACCTGCGTTGTAGTTTTCCATCGTCTGTATTGAGAGCAGGAACTTTGAAGATATTTTTCCTTTCACAGGCACTACAAAGACTTCAGGTAAGAAAATCCTTTGTTTTGTTCAGAATCAGTCTCTTGACTCAACAGAAACTTTCAAACCAAGATAACAATACATTCTAACTTTGTGTTCACATGAGTAATTTTTTTCTTTTGCTGTCAGTTTCAGTGAGATCTTAGTGCTCTACAGATCCTCTTGATTTTTCAGGCAAATATTACAGTAAATGCCAAAAATTCTTTATGAGGTTTTAGTCATAGCAGTAATATCAGCAGCAAATCAAAGATAATCCAGGAAATTCTTATCGATTATCTGGTCTCCCTTGAAGGTTTTAGACAAATAGTGGTTGGGACAGTGTCTTCCTGTCTAATATGCTGATGCCTTGAGGAGTTGGAAGAGAGGCTACACACAGAGTTGAGAGGAATAAAATGGGTATTTATTGGGACGCCTATGAAAGGCCTACAAAAGGTCACACCCTAGCAGGCCCCTGCCTGGATGGCTCCAAGATGGAAGTGAAGGAGAGCTTGGTCACAAAATCTCACACTTTTATAGGTTTTGGTTCATTTGCATGAACTCGTGTTGCAGTTCAGGTTTTAATTTATATGTTGTATAAATTATTATATCCCTTGTTCCTAATGGTTTTTCCCTTGGTTGTTACCCCCAGTTCAATGTACAATGGTTTTGCCCTTTCCCGCCAGTACCCCGTCCATCACCCTAAGGCCAGCGCATTCTACTAGAGCTTTCCCTGCCAGTTTTCCTAGTCCCCTCCCAAGCCCTTGTCAATCCCTCTTGGCCCCTCCTATTGTTCTAGTACCTTCCATGTCAGTTATTCCGTCTTAAGTATATGATTTGATGCCATGTATAAGTCTCCGCCTATGTTTCCCCCTATTGGTTGTATGTATAATTGGTCCCACCTTGTGTTACACCCCTAAACTGTTGCGATTGGTTGCTGTATTGTACCCTCCCTGTGGGAGGTCCACTATTTAAGTTGCTGCATGCCTGTGTTCCTTGCTTTTTTGGGTTCCCTTCCCTCGCATCCAGTTTTCCCCTTGCCTTCCCAATAAATCCTACCCTGGAACTTGAAAACGTCTCCCTCTCATTCCTTTGCTTCTCCCTGAACGTTGGAAGCGGCAAAAGGGGGCTTGGAGCCCTAGCTACACTCCTGGTTTTGGGAACCTGGGAGGTAGCCCACTCGTGATGTCAGCAGTCAGTGGAGATAGCTGGGCTTGCCAGGGTTCATGTGGTCAAGGCTGCCACGTCAAACTCGCCTCCTCTTTCCACATTGTTTATGCTTGGGGCCTGAAGTTTGCAGAAACTGTCCTTGAGTTCTCAACTGGAATAGGACTGTTTTGTCTTCATCACCCTAGCACATCAGAAAAGCACATCCAAGCAGAATAGAAAAACTTAAAACTTAAGGCATCAATACCACTTTAATTTTCTCTTTTAACTTCTCTTGTCAAATGTAGAAGTTGTTAGACTGGTCAGATGGATTCAGGTGAATTCAATTTCATTTAATTTATCTTACGTGTTTTATACAAAGAATATCAACAGGTGCTTGAATTTAACAGTTACTTATAGTAACTGTGAATTTCTGTTAAAAATAAATAAACCTCAAATCTCAGCCAATGAAAATTTATGGTATCTCAGTAAGTTCTGAATATCTCAAAACCAGATTATGTGCTTTCTCTGAGACAGAAAAGTTTTACCAATCCAAGATGAAAGAAATGGAAGTCTATGAAGAAAGTGTTTAGTTATTTGAAGACTAACTGCAAGCAATTATTCCTGGAAATTGTGTTTATTGCCTTATTTAATGAAATGCATCCTAATTGTTTCCATATTTGACACTTTTTAACATTTAAAAACATGAACAATAAATACAACAGTCATAAGGGCTTATTCTGGAAAACACTATATCTTCATTATTGTAAGGAGTACTAAATAACCTAAATATGAAATGTACTGCAGACAGTTCCGAGTTAGCATAAATTATAAAATCAAGGCTAATGTTCTAGAAAATATATTCAATGAAAACCAAAACACATTAATGTGCTTATCAATCAGTACACATTAATATGCTTATCCATCAGTATAAACTAACTAGACAGTCACTGTCTAGAAAGTTTCCAGTAAGAATACTTACATAAACTTTTGATAACAAGTGGCTAAGTCTAAAGTTAAATTTGTCTTTTAAATTTCAGGAATAATCTTTCTGAGAAATTTGCACAAAAGCAGTTGCAAGAAGGTGTTTGTATTATTCCTTAAATCCTCAAGATAAAAGCTTCATTCATAAATTATTGTTTGAACAGTTCATGAATGAATGTAGCTTAAAGTGAATTAATCTGTCACAAAAAAAACCCACGTGGAATTTAAAAGCTAATACCATTTAAAGAACTTAGCACTACTTGAAAGCAGAACCATCCCTCATAGGCACACATTCCCATTTTAATATTAAATATTCAATTTAAAGTGTGATAGACACAAGGAAAATCAGGAACTGAAAGAAGGAAAACGATTGTGATTATAAGAGCTCCTTGGATTTAGAAATGACATTTTAAAATTAGGCTGTGACTGTAGAACAACAGTTGAGCTAAAGCACAGAGTGAAACAAAGGTTTTGCTGGGAAAGTCTGTCAATTTGAATAGCTAAGTGGTTCCACCTGTTGGAAGAAAAGGAGCTAGAGAATGCTTGAATTATTATGTGAATGTAGGCAATAAGCCTTTACCCTTAGTGCCTGGATAAAAAAGGTCTATAATTTTCCCCTAACCTTAACAATAAATGTGGCTCATATAAACTATGAGAAACATACAAAGGATTTTCTTATTTTCACAGATCAGTAGAAGCTCTGTTTTTTTCAGTACCTCTTATGTACCACAACAATGGGCAAAATAGTATTTTTCAGACCTGTACTGTTTTCCATGAATTTCAAGGATACCATGTACCCTGCAGATCCGAGTGAAGGATTTTTACATATGAAAAGAGCAATACTTTTCATCTTCCTGGGTTATTCAGAACAAGAAGGAAATAAGTAAACAAAAAGCATTTACATATTATGAAAATGCTCTAATGGTATGCATCCCAAAAGACCTGAGTAAAAAATGGGCATAGTTTGGACAAGTCTTCACATGAAGAGATGTTAGCTGCTCAGATATTTGGGCTTGGAAGGTGGTAAATCTGGTTACTGTTTAATGAAAGTATATAAATGTCATAGATTACATCTGAATTCTTACAACTTTAGTATTCCACCAGGGCTTCAACAAGCAAGGCTTTTAATGTGCAAAGACTTTATCAGGAGTATCCTTTCAGTATCACATAATTTAAAAGCAAAATTGGTTTCATGGGCTGGATGAAAGATAGTCATTCCAGCCAGTGAGGAGGAAACATTGAAGACTGGGCTGGTGGAATTTAGGCTTTTCTGAAATAATGGTATTCAGCAAACAATACCACTGTTAGAGTCCAATAGGGTGGAATAGGTGAATAGAGTGAAATGTTTTTCAAAAATAAAGAAATAGTTGATGTTATGAATAGGCAGAACTCAAATTATTAACTTTTGTCCTATCCCCCAGAGACAATCTTCTGGTTAATGCCTGTCACTGCAAAAGATTTCTGCAAGTATTTTAACCTGGAATTACAGGATTTCTAGTTACTGCCACTTGCTGAAAGAGGCTCCCTGGGAAGCAAATATCTGAATTCCCAATTTCAAGTGGCATCAGCTAGCTAAAACATTTCATGGTGCTTACAGAGGACTCAGATCTGTATTGCAAACCTTACACAGAAAGACCTTCTGCCTGGATATTGTTTTTACTGACCAAAATTTTGATGACAATACCCAAGCTGCCCTCTTCTAGAGATCTCCCTCATATTTTCACCCTGACCCCACAAGGAGATGCTGAAATTCGTTAACTCAAAAACTAACGCAAAGTACATGTTTTAACACTGCAATGGGACTATTGTCTGCCTTCTTCTAACTGGCAACGTGTTGGCAATTGCAACATATAATTTTGGAATGACCAGACATCCTGCAAACTGTATACAAAAGGTCTCTTACTTCTCAAATAGTAGTGAACTCTGAACAAAGATATCAAGTACTTCAGTAAGTCAGGGTGGTTTATTTTGTTGCTGGGGTTTGTTTTGTTTTGTTTTTGATTTTTAATCAAAGGATCTTGTAGATAAAAATCAAGCAGATTAAATTATGGGCTAATTATATAAATAAAGTTCCATTAACTAACAAAAGCAAAAAAAGAAAAAATATAAATTACTTTAAGGTAAAACTGTAAGTCTTTCACTGAAGGGTGCCACTTGAATATCTGGCATTTTAGCACCATGTTTGATTCTGTATTCATGTTTACATTTTTTGTCCCCAGGAGAGAGAAGTTTCCCTACTCTAAGCAAAACAGTAACTAAATCAGTGTTCTTGCAACATATCAAACACAAAAGGTGCTAATATTTAAGGCGAAGGGAAAACTTTGAAAAAGAAAGGGGGTAAAAATTAATTCTACCCTTTCTGCTTGGGTTTTGTCTTCCAGCCAATGTCCTCCATTTTTTAATACACAGTTAAAGGCTTCCCACTGTTGTTTATGCCTGGACCACCTGTTTCGATAATGCACTCAAACCAGCAGGGTTTGGCACTGCATTAGACAGTTCATAAAAATACTAGTTCAACAGTAGGCATTTAGGGTGATCAGTCTAGATCACATGACCTGAATGCTATTTCACTTCCATAAAAACCTAAATGGTTATAATTAGGAAGAATAAATTTGATTGTAGGTCAAGCTGGCAGAAGTGAAGGAAAAGAGACTTCGAAGAAAAGCCTCAAGTGTATTTGGAGCGTGAGTGAGGGAAAAAGGGACAAGGAAGAGTAAGGAATATAGACCATAATTTCTGGAGTTAAAGGAGCGCAAATTATATTGAATACAGAGAAGGAAGAGGCAATTTGTCTATTGATAGATTAGAATAGGAAGAGCAGGTGAAAAATCATCTCACACAAAGAGGTAAATGAGTGGTGTATAGAGGAACAGAGACAAGAAGAGGAGAAGGTGAAGTGGTAGATGGCTTGGAGATTAAACAAGCAGGTTAGTTAGATAAATAATTGTTGAGTTAAAAGCTCTCTGAATGTTAAATTTTAATTCAACCTTCACATCTAGCCTCTCACAAAACTTTATTATCCATAGGTATATATACACTTTCGGAAGAAAAAGTCCTGAAACACAGTTACAGACCTTTTATGTTTATCTCATAAGAAACTTTTCTAGCTGCAAAGCTGGAGCTTTTTGGTTCCTTTAATTTCCTCTCATTGCTTAGATATTAGACTCTACCTAACAGCTGACATGTCATGGAATTGAGGTACTACTGCCATTCCAGGAGGTGAGGAGAAAAAGGAGCTCCTCCTCCTTCTGGAATGAAGAGCTTTTCATTCATGTCTATTTTAGTAGCAGCCTCAGGCCTCTATCATTTGACTTTTCATGGAGAAAACACTTTATTCCAGGTCTTGGCACTGTAATGTGCCAATGTCAAAGTATTCTTTGACATGACTGAATGCCAAAGTATCCTTTGACATTCAGTCCATGGGAATATTATCCCACACATAACACCACACTGAGGGAGAATCCCAACTTTTTAAGTAAACAGCACTAGATCTCAAACATTTTATCCTCTAAATCTGAAATTATTTTTTACATACTTTCACAAGCTGAAACTGAATGTAGACCCTGACTAGGTCTGTCTCCAGTACATATTTCCTGGTAAAATGAGAAGCTTGCTTGTATAAAGACAGCTTTATCTGAAAAGAACATGATAGTTAGCTAAGTTAATTCTGGATCTTGAATAAGGGTTGAGAGACAGGTTAAAAAGTCAGAGTAAAAGGTTTCTTTATATGAAGTTCAGGAAAGTAGAAAAAAATGTTAATGATGGAATAGAATAAAAGGTTTTATGAACCGTCTTGTACCTGGTGAGGCTGATACAGATCCAGAGCCAAGAGTCTAATAATCTCCTTGCTCATTCACTCCACTTGGAGTCTCTACTTGGAGCCTTATAATTATCAGTAAATAGTAGGTTCATTAGAGCTGGGCATGCAAAGAACTGGCTAAGATCCATGGTCCTCAATGTTTTCATAATGTTTTTTCACACACTTTAAAAGCTTTTGTAGCTGAAACATTTTATCCATAGTGATCTGCAATCCAGATGATAAGAGAGTTAAACATTTGATATTTTAAGACAGACAATTAAACCCAGTCTTTTTATCCAAGATAAAGCAGAAATCTAACCTTTCAGAAAGCATTTAAGGAAATTAGCATTTACAACATGAATGCAAAGTATTACAGTAATATAATTCTTGCTTCAAATACACACCTTCCTTTGGGATTCTGCCCATGTAAATACCACCACATTTTCTTTTTTAAGATTTCATCATGCATGTGAAGTGGATATTAAGAGAGACTGCTGAATGTATTGAACTTATTGAAAATCTTATTTGACTCAGGCCCAGCTGTCACATAGTCTTTTTTTTGCCCCTCCATACAGGAGTTGGGACTTCTGTTCCTGTCTCTACCTTGGTTCACAGCCTTCCACTAATTCTGAACATGTGCATATTTTCTACGCTTTTTGAAATCATCAAGCTGGCAAGTGTCTCATCCAATTTGCTGGAGCAAACCAAGGTGCCAACATGGCTTTCCTGAATGGTAAATATCATCACTGACTGTGTAACAGCTGAGAATGTTGCCTCTAGCATCTGCCCACATGCTGCAGGATTATCTGGCATATCCACAACCTGTCTGCTAGCAGGAAAACAAATTAAAACAAACAATAAACAAGCAAAAAACACAAAAGAAAAAAATAATACAGACACAAAACCAAGCATTCAACTCTAACTGAAGTTGTCTTTCTTTAACAAATACAGAAATATGACCATATCTGCTTAAAAAAGTAAAGTTAACAATGAGATCACTTATGCTGCCCACACACTGCCTCCTGCAAAGCAGCAAACATGATACAGAGGAAGAAACTATGTCAAATTTCATGTGGTTACTGTTGCTTGGGAAACCACTTCCTTGGTAACTACAATGCATTCTCAGCACGACTCAGTAGCAATTTCTCTCTGGCTCTGAGAGGCACAAACCTGCACAAAGTGTGAAATGAAAACAAGAAAAATAAAAAGCTAATAACAAGAAAGTCAACCTGAAGAAAGAAACGAGAGAATGAGCAAAAGATTTCTTGTTGCTGTTGTTTCAAATGTGTCTAAATTAAAAATAACGTAATCCGAAATCTATCTGGAAGGTGTTTTTAATATGGTTTGGAGGAGAAATCATTGATCTATGTCAGAAAGTTTGTCTTCAATCATAAGTGTGAGGTAGGAGATAGGTTCTTGTGTGGCTCTGGAGAATTGGCACTTAGCCTGCTATGGAAAGTTGGCTGCCACTGGTGTTTTCTCTGTTCCAGTTTGTCAGGACATTTGTTGCTGAGTCCACACTATAGAATGGAGTTTAAGAAAAAGATCTGTTAAGAATAACTTACTACTATTTTAAACATAATTACTAAAGAAAATTGTAAAAAGTAGCCATAAACCTTAGAATCCTTTCCCATACTGCTCCAGAAGAGGGGCTCAGGGATATTGCTGCTAAACCAGCAACAGTTTCCTTACTGCTAAAACACAGTGATTGTTCTTTTAGAAGTACTGATTTGAGCTCTTTGCATAGAATGCAAAGTTTAATTTATTCATTGTTTCACACCAAAATCTTGTCTTCTGCTTACCTGGACCTCCACCTTCTCTTTGACAACAGGCATGTAAGCTGCTCAGCACAGTTTTTGTACATGGACTACATGCAGGAAATTTAATTTTTATATGAAACAAATAGAATAAATGCTCTAGTTATAGCACCAGCAATTTGTTTTGTTTTTTCTTTTTCAGTTTATGTTTTACTGGGCCTTATATCAGAATCATTATTGTGTCAATTCAGTAGCCCAAATTAAGTAATAGGGGAAAAGAGAGAGGAAACACTGAGAATTAATGTCACATTAAGTGTCCTATCACTGTTCTTACAGACGCAGCAGATTCACCTGCCTGTACAGTCCATAAACATGTGGACTGGAGGTTTCTTTTCACACAGCTGGAAGTGATTAAGGTGGCAAAAAGGAGGCATCATGACCTCTCTACTTCTTTTATTTATATTAAGTAGCTTAGGACAGAATGACGCTAAGAAAGCATGAAAAATAAATAAGGATACTAGAGAAATCATTTAAATCACCCTCCTTCTCAGTGCAATAAACTACTTATTTTATGTATGTCTGTTTAAATATATAGATTTCTATCTGTACATAAACATACGCACATATGCCTTTTCAAGGACAGTAATAAATTAGTTTTCTACTTTTTTGCAGACAAAAAAAATAACTACTTGAAGTTATTTTGTTCTTACAGAAGGAGCATCAGCAAAAAAAGTTAATAGTGTCATTTTAACACCTTTAGTTCAAGCATGCCTTCCACCCATACTCCGAATGGCAGAGGATATACATAAAACACATCTCTTCCAGGAATTCAGGAACTTATTGAGTCAATGCATACATTGGTGCTAAACTGCAATAATACACTCATCCCATTTCCTGGATTAAATGCAGAGACAAATCAAGAAATCTGAAAATTAGAAGAGTTTATCATTTGTTCTCTGGAAATACAGACGTTTGTATATCTGCTCTGGAGTACCTGGCTGTGGGGAGAGGGAAGGAGGATATCCCTGGAATACTAGAAAATATGATGGAGACATCTGGGGTAGATCTGGGTAACAACAATGGAAAGGGCACTCTCTCTTTTGTTGTTGACTGCCTGGGTCAGCACTACTTTCTCTTCAAGTATAGTGTCTTAATTCAGAAAAAAAAAATTAGGAAGTCCAGAGGAGTTTAACCAGTATTATGCTACTATTCTCAGGTAGTTGAAATACTTCTTCAACACACATTTACAGTACTTCAAGAATGAAAAACAACAGTGAGAAGTGCCAATTCTTCCACATTGCTGAGATAGCAAATGTTTTGGCAGTACTCCTTCCTCTCCCTGGGAAGTTTAGTTACTCTATCCAAAAGCACCAAGTAGCCATTAGGATCTACATCATTTGAACACTGATGCCATGAAAGCTTTAGACTTGAATGTGAAATTGTAGGTCTCCTGGTGCATAACTGTTGTTTCCAAACTATTCTTGGATGAAAACCAGGAGGTTACATATATGTAAAAACAAATCAGACAAAACAATTCCAACAAAAGTCAAAGCCAAAGTCACCAACAAAGTGAATTGGGATCACTCAGGTTTTCTGTTTGTTTTGGATTTTTTTTAGGAAGTTTACAACAGTTACATAATCCAGAAATGCACATGTAATACTTAATTCTTCTCCTGTCAGCATTGCTATACTATGAATTTAAATACTTCAGTCAGACTACTTCCTTAGTTTAGATGAGAGAAAATTCTTGAGTATATATCATGTTTATGTATAAAAGTTTACCACTGTGATTTAATACGTACATTTATATCTTGTAGAATAGCTACTTATTACTAAGAAAATAATGTATTAATAATGTATATGCTTTCCTAAGAACAACCTTGCTACTGTGCCTAGAGTTTATTGAATATTTTACCATTGAAGTCACAATAAAAAAAATAAGGCAAATATTAAACAAATGTGAAAATGGACATCCAATGCATAGGATGTTAGGTTCACATTTGTGGCCTATTTCAGTAAGCACCATGCAAAAACAATAAAACCCAGGGGGAGTTGAGTATTTCATATAATCAATTCCTATCTCAATAAAGTGAGCTACTACAAAATCAGGGTTCCAGGTTTTGCTGAACCATTGTCCCTCAGGGTTAGTGTGTGAGAACCACTACTACAGCCTGATCCATGGGTTGTGAAATGTGGAACATAATCATGCCCTTTGCTGTCTGGTACTGAAGCAATTGCATCTCTCAATTTGCAATGATTTCAAGATCTACATTTAGACAAGTATTTAATCCTACCTTCTCTATGTAGCTCCTAATGTCTTCCATTCTTCAGTTTGAATGAAAAAAATTATGTTCTGCAGACTGCAAAAATTCATATAAGATAAACCAAATCAAGACAGTATCTTTGAATTCTCTATACACTGATATTTACCTTCCCGTCTCCAAATAGGAGCTAAATGAGAAACTGCCAATTTAATTTGGACTCCATTCTGATTTCCTTACAGCACACCTGTTACAATCCAGCTTAAACACAAAAGAGCAGAGGAAACTAAATCTCTGCTAATAAAAGGATTAAACCCAGAAAGGTTTGAAATATACCTAAACAAGTATGATAAAAACCAAATGAGGTTAGATGTTGGTGCCGAAAAATTGATATATTTTATTTAATAGTAAAAGTGATGAGGAAGGATTCCAGGAAGGAAGGATTCCAGGAAGGAAGGATTCCAGGAAGGAAGGAAGGATTCCAGGAAGGATTCCAGGAAGGAAGGA